GTCATGGTTTAGTTATATGTTCTGTGAACTATCATTATTCTTTCTCATAAATGTGATTCACTTTCCTGAATGCTCTTTTATCACTTACCCTGAAAGATGTCATGCCTCAAAGCTGTCCTCTAATTTTAGACACTTATCTAAAGATGAAAAAAAAAAAAAACCTAACCAAACTCACTGCTGTGGAGTCAATTCTGACTCATAGCGACCTCTCCGGGGGTCCAAGGTGGTATCTCTATGGAAGTAGATTGCCCAATCTGTCTTCTGAGGAGTGGCTGATAGATTTGAACTGCCAGCCTTCTGGTTAGCAGTCAAATGCCTTAAGGCACTATGCTGCCAGAGCTGCTAGATGAGATAAATTACCTACATTTTCAGCATTCACAGCTTGCATACTTTGGTTACAAGTTAAGCATATACTAAGTACATTCAATAAGTAATTTGATATACCAAGCAGGGCTTTGAACTGGTTCCTTCCAGTTTCACCTCCTGTTCAGAATTTGCCTTTCCACTCCAGATATACTGAATCAAAATCTACATTTTAACAAGAGGATGTGGTTATATTACCTGGGGATCTTGTTATATACAGATTCTGAATCAGTATATCTGGAGTGGAAAGGCAAATTCTCAGCAGAGGGTCAAACTGAAAAGAACCAGTTCAAAGCCCTGATTACAATATACAAAAAAGATGTGTTCAGCACATGATGTGACTACTGAATATACCTTTCTGGGCAGAGTTAGGGAAGCTGGAAAATATCACTGATACGTGAAGAGGACACTGGATTGCAGAGCAAAACACCTGTGAAAAACAGTCCTAAAACTGGTCCCTGCCTGGATACTAATTATTTAGGGATCTTAGTATCCATTCAATTTATTTTTCAATATTACTATTTTTACAGCTTCTGCCACTTTTGAAGACTTTCAGATTCGTCCCCACGCTCTCTTTGTTCATTCGTACAGAGCTCCAGCATTCTGTGATCACTGTGGGGAGATGCTATGGGGTCTGGTACGGCAAGGCCTTAAATGTGAAGGTAAGTTATGTTTTGCCCTGACCAAATGAAAGGCACGCGTACATTATCTGCTTGTCGCGTACCCTCTGCAACAGTATCATCTTTCCCTCAAAAGTGTCTTCTAGGCATTTGTGGGTCGCACCGATTCTGTTCTGTTTATTTATTTAAATGTCCAGTATTCAAAAGGTAAATTCGTAATGAACGGATGTTGTGCTTTGATTTTGGAACCCCAGTCCTCATATCTTTGCCAAGTTTCTCCCCTAGGTCATATTGGGCACTTTGGCAACAGACTGAAAATAAAATTGGAATCTTAATTATGTCAGAACTTGGAGTAGCAGACATTTGATAAATGTTGGTTGGAATGAACCAAGATTCACACAGCTATTAAGTCCCAGACTAGAATTTCTGCCTCCATTTCTACTCTAATACCATATTTTATCATCCCCACCACACAACTCAAGTTTCCAGAATGCCATAATTTAATCTTAAAAACCATAACCAAATGATACTCTTCTTTGGTTTGAGGAGCAAAAACTATGTAAACTCAGGATATATTACCAAGCATTAACATTATGCCCTAAATATAAGCTCCCGCCCTAAATATAAGCTAACCACAATTTGAATTTCTGTCTTTGTGAAGTGAGAAGTCAGGAGCAAGTGATCTAAAAGAAATTCTGCCTAAAAGGTAGTGTTAGGAAAATGTATCTGGACTGCTTTGTTACATATAGGGAAACTCAAGCTACATGGGGAAACTCTGCATAATAGAAATATTAAAAGAAAAATGGTGGCTCCTTAATTTGAACATATGCTTCCAATTATTGATGACCTCTGGTGGCATAGTGCCTAAGGCGTTTGATTGCTAACTGGAAGGCTGGTGGTTCAAACCCACCAGCCACTCCTTGGAAGAAAGGTTGGGCAATCTACTTCCATAGTGATAACCACCTCGGAAACCCACAGAAGCGTCGCTATGAGTCATATCCGACTCAACAGCAGTGAATTTTTTTTTTTTTTTTTTTTTAATTATTATACCAAAGAGGAGGGCTGGTGGTCCAGTGGTGAGATACTCGGCTGCTAACAAAAATGGCCAGGGGTTTGAACCCACCAGCCACTCCGCTCTGAGGGAGAAAGTTGGAGCAGTCTGCTTCTGGAAAGATTTACAGCCTTGGAAGCACTCTACCTATTGGGTTGCAGTGAGTCAAAATCAACTCAATGGCAATGGGATATTATACCAAAACTAGCATGTGAGATATTTAACATATTTTTTAGTAATTCTATAGAGTAGCTATTATTATCTTCATTTTTCAGACAACGATATTGAGGTGAAGTCATTTGTCCAAAGTCTTGAAGCCTCAAGTTGTTGAGCCAGAATTCAAATCAGTGGACCCACAGGCTGTGCTGCATCATGATTAATTTTTCCTGTATGTGCCCACTAACATTAGAAGAACTTGTGGCAGCTCCAAATAGCTCAGATAATCTATTTGAAGTTTTGTCACTAGATCCCTCTAAGCCCAAGGATTTTATGTCACAGAACATTAAAAATACTAGTTAAGTTCACTGCTGAGTTTATCCAATAATATCAGAATTCCAAACACAGTTTATAAGTAAATTATGGAAAAGAAAAAAAGAAAATTTGAATTTATACATAGTCTCAAAAAACTGAAAGTGGTAAAAATTTTTTTTGTAATCTATAATTTTGTTTCATTCTGTTGTACTTAGGGACGCTATGAGTCGGAGCTGACTCAATGGCACCTAAAAACAACAACAATCTATAATTTACAACTAATACTGGAATAACATTTAGTTTATGGTTGTGCCAAAGTCAGTTTTATTTTCTCTTTACAGGATGTGGTCTGAATTATCATAAGAGATGTGCTTTTAAAATCCCCAACAATTGTAGCGGTGTGAGGCGGAGACGGCTCTCGAATGTTTCCCTCACTGGGCTTGGCACTGTCCGCACAGCATCTTCCGAGCTCTCCAGCAGTGCCCCCGATGAACCCCTTCTGGTATGGCCTCCTTTTTATCAATTCCCCCATTTACATGAGAAATCTGTGGGAAGATGGAATAACAGTGTCAATCCAAGACAGTGTGCGGGGAGGAAGGAGACAGCCAGTGTGTTAATAGCTGTGTTTCTTCAGGGTTTGTGCTGTAGATTGGTCAGTGCTTCATCAAATATCCAACAGCTATTATCTCCCAGCCCAGTGAAATTATAAAATATGTAAAGAATCATCATGGTCACAGGGCCAGAGCAGGACACAGTAATGTGTTAATGTTGCAAAAATGGTTTGTCACAATTTGGAAACCAGAGATAAAAGACATTCTTATTTGAAGATTATGAGTAATTAGTGGCATAACTGAATATTTATTCCAGAGAAAATTTGAAATTTGCTTTTATGACAATATAAAAGTCTTGTATTGTTTGGTGCCACTTGTATATATGCAGGTATTGGCAGAAAGGGAGGTGGTCAAAATACTCTGAGACAAATGTCACTTAAAACTTTAAATGTTTCCATTAGCTCTAAAATACATATAATTTAAATAGTCTTAGCAATTTAAATTTGGATTTTCTGAACATTCAAAAAAAAAAACCGTGGTAATTATATGAATTATTTTAAATAAAGACATTATTCTGAAATAGCCTAATGGTTTGAGGCTGAGGCTAGAAATTTCCCATGTTTACTACCCCTTTATCCTTCCACCAATCAATAGTCCAAGGACTCTTCATAATGTAGCTATTGGAAAGATCAGTTAAAGAGAAAAAAAAAATGAAAGAATGCTAAAACCCTTCAGTTATATAAACATCTCTTGGAGTGAAGATTGACAATGAATTTTGAAGATATCTCTAAAAGTTGTATTAATTAATTACTTCATTGTTGGGTAAATACTGTATTTTCATTCTTATATCACCTCAGTTTTGGTACAGTTGTAAGCCAGGCATAACCCAAATGAATACTCATTTTGTTAAATAGGAAAATTCCATAATTAGTTTTTTGAGTGTTTTCTTTTGGGGGTTTCTTGGGTTTTGAATCCTTCATTAAGTGAATCTATAGAGGAAAGGTGAATAATAAACAAACCTATAAATGGAAGAATACATTTTATTTTTGTAAGTATTTAGGGTGCATATATATGGCTTTACATATGTGTATGTGTGTTTATATGTGTATATTTATATTTGAATTATTCCATAAATTTGTATTAATTGGAATTAGTGATATTATTATTTGTAGGTGGGAAAATAAAAACATATTTTTTTTTCAATAACTCTACTGTCACCTTTCCAACCTTTTTGTCCTTAACTGAGTTTGAATTTTTCTAAGTAGTGATTTTACAAGTTAAAACGACTACTCTTGTATCTTATATATGTTGTTGTTGTTACGTGCCCTCAAGTCAGACCTGACTCATAGCGACCACTCCTTGGGTTTGCGAGGCAGTATCACTACGGTTCAAATCCACCAGCCATTCCTCGGAAGGAAGGTTGGGCAATCTACTTCCTTAGTGATACTGCCTCAGCAACCCAAGGAGGGGTCACTATGAGTCAGGTCCAACTCAGTGGCACATAACAACAACAACAAAAACATCACTATGGAAGTAGATTGCCCCATCTTCCTCCCAAGGAGTGGCTGGTGAGTTTGAACCATCAGCCTTCTAGTTAGCAGTCAAGTGCCTTAAACACTACGCTACCAGAGCTCCTAGAAAGAGACAGCCTGGCTGCCTGATGGGGAGCGGCTGGTGGATTTGAACCGTAACCCTTGGGTGTGGCAGGTGACTGCCTTAGGCCTGAGGCCATCACTGAGAATTGTATTGGTTAAATATAAACATTAAAAAAAAAATTAAAAAAAACAAAACTATACATTAATGTGTCTTATTTCCATTATCTATCAGGAAAAGTTTTTTTGTTTGTAATTGCTTAAAACTTGCAAAAAAACAAGCAAACAAACTGACTGCCTTCAAGTCGGATCTGACTCATAGCGACCCTTCCTTGGGTTTCCAAGGCAGTATCACTACGGAAGTAGATTGCTTAACCTTACTTCTGGGGAGTGGCTGGTGGGTCTGAACTATCAGCCTTCTGGTTAGCGGTCAAATGCCTTAGGCACTACGCCACCAGAGCTCCCTAATACTATGCAAGAAATCTAAAATTCTAAACTAAAGTGATACATCATTACAATACGTATGTATTTAGGTAATTATTGATAAAAATTATTTGTTTTCAACCTATCTCAATTTAATATAATATATATATATATTATGTGTATATATATATATATATTTA